TTTTTTTTTTATTGAATGATTTGCCAAAAGAGTTCCAGTGAAGATTCATTCTATGCAGAAAAACCATGGAGTTTGGTGCTTCTTGGATAAAGGCCTTCAATTTCTTCAGCAGATATTCAAAAGAGAACTACTATAATGTTACGAAAATTATTGTCCTTATGTACCGAGTTCTGCTTAAGGCCAATAGAGCTTTTGAATCAATTTCATGATGAAAAATGGAACCGGTGTTTCGTTTGATTTATTGATAGATGAAATTTATGATAACGTTGATATTAAGCTGATATTGAGTTTAAAAATTCGCCTTACAAATTCGAATAAGAATAAATACAATTTTTACTTAGATTTGATATCAAAACAAGAAAAATATTAGATAAAATTATTTTAAAAAATGATTCTAAGGAGTACAGTGACGACAAATCAATCTGCAAACTCTTCTCATTACAACTGCATAGTCGCCTATATTGCAATACCGGGAATTTTCTCGACACTGAGGGTGTAAATCGTTACAAGTTAACGACGAAGCTGCAGTTGAATTGCCTGCAGTGCAAAAGATTTTGGTTAGATTTTTAAGCATATTCATAAATTAAGATAATAAGTTGTAAATGAATCAATTGAAAGTATTAAAAAACTAGAAAAAATGAAGGATTTTCACTAAGAGACTTGAATTTTAAGACTTGAATTTTTCGCAAAAATCTCGAAAATCAACCTGGTAAGCAATCTTTAAGTCCACAAGTCTTTTTGCAAGATCTCTTCATGAAATCCATACTGCATGCAGGATCCAAAAGGAAAATAGCTGCACAATTATCGTTTTCATCTGGACAAATTCCACCAGCACGCGGTCTATTACAAAGACCACATGTAAATGGGCACATCGAAAGCGCTACCTTCGGTGCAATTGTGCAAACATTTCGACCCAATTTCTGGCATGCATTTGGGCTGACTGAAAGGAGACAAATCGAACTTCTATGACTCACTTTTTTTTGGAGTCGAAAATAAAAAAGACTGACCATCATGGCAGTTATATTCCTTCGTTTTACAACACATCGCACACGTTTTTGGGCACGCTTTTGCTGAGAAATCTTTGATCGTATTACATAGCCCAGGGATCTTATAATCTTCACTCCTATAAATTGCTTCTTTTCTGCTTTGTCTTATTAAACTCTCTTTTAAATTTTAAATTTTATGGCCGATGCCTGTTTTAAGGGTAAGTTCTCCGTATATTTCGGTCATTAGTGTCTAAACTCTGTCGGCAGATGACCGTGATAAAGATAAGTTCTATGCGGAACTTAAACTGCTAACAAATACCCTACCAAAACATGGTCATAGCCAGGGGAGACTGAAATGCGAACGTAGGTAATAATACCGCTGCGATGACCTCTACAATTGGCAAAAATGGCGTCGGAGACCGGTGCATCAATGGGGAATGCTTTCTTCGTTATGCCGAAGAACATGAACTTTTTATTACTAATATACTTGCTTCCGGCATCATAGAAAATATCTAATCACGCGGAACTCCCCGGACAACCAACACTTCAACCAGATTGATTTTATCTAGTCAGTTGGAAGAGTTCCGTACTAGATAGTCGCTCCTATCGCAGAACTGAAACGGTTAGTCTTCATGGATCTCATCATGCTATGGTTGAGCCATGATCCGCATGAAATTCAACTCGCAGAAAACAACATGTTCAAAGGTCCTCAAACCAAAAAATTCGGGGATTGAGCGCATTTCATTTCATTTCAAATTGAACTGTTGAAACATCTCAGTGATACAAATATCAGTGATTTTTCTGGAACGGCAAATGAATACTGGTCCAAACTAAAGGAAAGTCAGCCACTTCCATGCTAGAGCATATTACTAATACTAATTGTGCATCGCAACTGTCCAATTGTCTGAAAATGCAGCCAGAGCACTAATGTCATCCTGATCAAGTGATCCTGATTACCGGATGCAGGGAAAGCAGCATGACGGGACAGCAATCACTATTGGAGTAATATGATCCCGCTGTCCACCACAAGAATTGTCGCATATTTCGTTACATATTTGTCACATATTTTGCTATGCCGTGCGATGGATGCCGTCAAAAGCGAAGTGGGCCAATCAAGACCTATATTGTCAGATTTTGAATGTATAAGGGGACTATAATATATGGACATCGCAGAGCTTCGAAGTGCCTTACCCTCGTAGCCGTTGGTGCCAGCCTAACCACTAATGGTGAGAGCTGTTAGAACAAGAAGATAACTTTCGTTTAAGCTCTCCACCACAGATTCATGTGGGAAAAAAATATAGTCGCTGGGAATACATAAATATATATTCTTTCATTTCATTCCGCTTATAATCTGGAAATCGAACAAATTTTCAATCGACTCGCTAGTTCCGTCATATTTTTGAAATACTTCTGAAGAGATATGGACATAAATAGAATAGAAAATAAAAATACTCTTCAAACTTAATATAATCAGGATCATATTTTTATAGAAATAATACAACATTATAGTCATTTACAAGTATTCTACAACGATTAAAAAATTCATACTCTTTCAAATTGTTTTCTAAAACATTAGTAAGGTCTTGTTGATCATAAACAAATATCGATGAACAAACGGGATCCTCTGGACAAGAACCCACAGTTGGTCGTTTTTTATCACCAACTAGTTTAACACATTCTTCGATAATCTGCATTGCCTGCAGATGCGAGAGGTAAAAGGAAGAACGGTAGGATAACGGTGAACATAATTTTAGGTTCGTATTAACAAGTTTCATAAATGTATACTTTTATATAACCATTTAATATTTGTCGTAATAAACGTCTGTATTTAAAATTCAAAGAATGAACGAGAAGAAAGCTGAAAAAACAAGTGACATCAAACTTAAAAGACAAATATCGAAGACCGAATATTTCTAGTAGGTTATCAGATAATTTTTTTTAGAATGAAAGGAAATTAATGCTTATAAGCAATCCTAAGTTCATTCAACGAACAAATACTATTTATTGAAAGATGGAAACTGAATTTTAAAATTTTAAATTTAAATTTAAATTTAAATTTAAGTTTAAAATTTTGAATGAATTGGAAATTTTGAAAAAGGAATGCTTAAGGAAAATAATGATTTTATAGTGGATGTATGTGCTTAGATTCCTATCGAAAAAACTACCCAGAAACGGAGGATTCCTTATAATACTCAAAACTTGCTCAAATTTTACCATAACTTGAAAGT